TGCCACCTCGAGATTTTGACCAAGGAAAGACAAGTTGATGTGCTTTGATTTGAGGGGTCACTCACTGCTGAACGAAAATTAGGGACATCGCTATGAGAAGAAACGTTAACATTGTCGCCTATGGGAAAACAATTAGTGGACTGTACCCAAATCTGATTAAATATCTACAGGAGAAATGATTGGAGATAACGAGTTAAATGATAATTTTCACTATTGAAAGTATAATTTTCTCACAAGCTCAAAATATTTATATTTGAATAAAGCAAGTGTGCAATGAATATTATTGCTAGCACAGAGAAAGAAAATATATTCCAAATTGATTATAAAATAATTATTTTACATAAGAAATTAAAGCTGATAAAAGAAATCTATATAGCTGATTTCTACAATGTGAAAACATTAAATTAATACTTTCAGCATGATGTTTAATATTTCTTATTTACTTACCCCATATGAATATTGTCCCTATCAAAATGGCTTTGCATGAATAAAGTGCCATCTAAATGTTGACTGTCAGTTACTAATCAATTCAATTCAAAAAACAAACATCCATGGAGAAAAAAAGAACCAAACTTAATTAGCCAGAAATACAAATTCAGTTATTCATATACAGACTGTAATAAAGTATATAGATAACGGCACTTTATATCTCCCTTTCGCATATTCATACCCTAAAGGTACAGTTTAATTTTAAGTCAAGTTACACGAGTTGCTAACATATTGCACAAGAACTTATCTTGCTTTTGTTTATATAAAAGTAACACCGTATTTTATCTAAAATTATAAATAATGGACTGATAATGAAAATAACAACGTGGTTTTTAACTTCTAAAACCTTGATAAAGAGCAACGCCGTATTGACCTTATGTCATCTGTAAAAATGAGAATTTAATTAAAGATTGGTAATTAAAGTAAGAAAATGTTGCACGTCATATTCGACGAATTTTTAAATTAATTTTTAACTAACTGGTTTTGCAACATGTTGAAATTTAAGTTGTAAAAATTATCTTGCTATGATTTTTTTCTTACCCGTCAAAGAGTAAATTAACGTCTAAGTTCAGTCTAAGTGATAAATCTACACAGGCAACTTAGCCACATATGATTCTCATATGAGTATCATATGATTGGTTTCATATGAGAATCATAGAAAAAGGGCATCATATGTGAATCATATGAAGCAAATCATATGATTTACATATGATCCACATATGTGAATCATATGAAAATAACTACATATGATTTTCATATGAATGATTTCAGTGTGTTTCAAGCCATTTACATATGAGAATCATATGAAAATGGCATCATATGTAAATCATATGAAACACTTATGTGTGTTTCAAGCCATTTACATATGAGAATCATATGAAAAGTACATCATATGTAAATCATATGAAACACTTGTGTGTTCTTTTTCAATATTTTTCACATTCTTGTACACATTTAAAAATCAGATATTTCTGCTTTAGATGAAAATTCATTACATTACATTGATCTTTCTTCATTGGTTAAATATTTTAAAATATCTTAAAATGCTTATACAACTTTTTTGATAAAATTATTTTCATCAAGAGAAATAACTTATTTTTTCACAGTGTACATTCTAAACAAGAAAATATACAAACAAGTCAGTAGCATTTGTCGATACATGTATTTAACATATTCTAACATGAGTACAAATTATAAGATTTCAGCAAAATGATTTAGTAGTTAAACATGTACACTGTACATGTACAAATGAATAACATAATTAGGTAATGTATAAAAATACCATATTACATGAAAGTGTCCAAAGCAACATTGAAATATCAGCAATAACATTTGTCATGTATTCTCTATTGTAAATTTATGAAAAATCAAGTTATTGATTATTCCAGCATACAATATGGGAAATCTTCACAGGTCAAATTCAGACAAGATTGTGTACATCCTCCCCATTTCATAATTATTCCATATATTTCCTTGCTCTTTTTCCTTCTGTATCTTTCAGTTTTTTCAGTTGTCCTCCCTTTGATCTTCCATGACCATTTTGAAAATCTCTTTGAACTGTACCGTACCAAAAATGAATATCCACCACTTCTCCTTTTCCTGAACAATTTCTTTGTGGCACAGAATGGTCTCTACAAAATTTTCAAAAGTAAAAATAAAATAATTCTTAAATTCTATGAGTTATAAAAGTTACTTAGGTATAATCAGCAAACAAATGTATGCCCAATTCACGGACACAGATATGATACAAGATAAAACTAATGTTATATATGTTATACTAGGTGTTTTGAGGAATCCTATGATGTAATTTGCAAAACAATTACACTATTGAAAGATATGCTTCATAATAAAATCATAAAAAACATTTTTTGTTATTTTGACAATTAAATTTGGAATGTTCAAACAGTATATATTAATTCAGATTGTCAAAAAATTAAGAAGATTCTGATACAGATACATGTTTATTATTTTTGGACAAAAAATACTACAGACAAGTAGACAGGCAGAAAAACAGACATTGTGATTCCAAGATATCCCAAACTTTTGGGAAGACTATAACAAAGTTTATTTAACAGTGTGTAGTTACCTTAACTTTGAAGCAAGCCTTGGATCTTGGGATTTGTTCTTTATCTTATGAGAGGCTGACTGTATATTGAACCTGTAAGACAAATACTAAAAGTCTCACACAGTAGATATTTTCTAAGAATACATTTAATTAAAACTTAAACTATCAAAAAGAGAGAGTACAAGTTTGTAGGTTCTTTATAGTCTTAAATATATCTAACATTTAACCCGAAACTATAGGCACGCACACCATTCACTAGTGTTGGGGGGAAAAAATAATTGTCAGTAAATGAATACATAGATGTAAATATTCTATGGATTAGCTAGCTGCTGTTCTTTCAACACACATGCACATGTATTCATACCTTTAAAGTTGGATGTCACTGTTATAAATTTTTAGTTGAAATTCAAAAATCCAATTTATCCCCCCTTTTCCCACAAATTTATTGTATACTATATAGTTTCATAGCCTTTACAGCCAGCAAAATCTATTCATACTTTGCATATTTTAAGTGCACTGGATTAAAATTATAATGTAGAATAAAATTTCTAGAGTATTGAGTTAATTGAGTTGAATTTATTTTTGATGAAGCCATGCAAACAATGTAGAATTATAAAAGAACAAAAAGAAATTATCAAGATATATTTTGTCATAAAGAGACATTACAGATACTTTGATTTTTTATTTCAAGTATTTATTTTTACCTTCAATATTGTGATGATGCAATCGTCTGTCAAATCAGCTTCAGGATCAATCGCCAGTCTTATCAGCTTCGGGCTCTTTGGACTGAAAAAAAAAAACAGTACTGTGACATTGAACTCAAGTTGCCGAATGCATCTATAGGCCATAATAACAAACATTTGTCATTAAGTTTAAGAAGGAATCCGGACTTGATAACGATCTCAACATACATAACGACATACAAGGTTTCTACTTTCACTTTCATATCAGTACGTAACTAAACGAAAACAAATTCAAGTTTTAAAAAGTAGTAATGCCTTTAGCCTAATATGTAATGTTTACATTCATTCAGAAACAAATTTTATCCAAACTTTCTTACAGACCACGAGCGTTAGGTTTACGAAATGCATTGATTTAACATATTACATGCATGATGCAAGTGATAAGAGTATCGATAGAGAGTTCATACGCACCTGTAACAATAATGAAATTATATTTAAACAATCAAAAGTCTTTAAAATATTATTGTTAGGAGATCACTTGCCTTTTCTAAACACCCAACACGTCTGCTGCAGCAGTGACGTCAAAATTGACGTATATTTTCATCCAATAAAAGACAAAACCGGCCCGGAGAAAAATACGGAATTATTTTAATTTTACTTAGCCAAACCCAAAAGATTTAAAATGAAAAGCAAATTAATTTATTCTTTATCTATTTGTCTGGGAAATGCATTATAACAGAAAAAAAAATTGTGAAAGGTTTCTTTAGAAGGAAAGGAGGGGGGGGGGGGAGGTAAACAGAGTAGAACTTTACATACAATTAATTATTAACAAATTCTTTTGAATTAATGTACATTTAAATTCATCTTTTGATATATATAATTGAAATTGCAATTTTACATCAGTATAACAAGGAAAGATAAGTGAACACTGTTTCATATGATTCTCAAATGATCACCGTTTCATATGATTCTCATATGATCACCGTTTCATATGATTCTCATATGATCACAGTCAAAACATCCGTATGAATTTTACCTGAGTATAACAAGGACAAATTAGTGAACATTGTTTCATATGATTCTCAAATGTTCAGTTTCATATGATTCTCATATGATTTTTGTCAGAATATTCAAATGATTCTCATATGCAGGATCTTTCATATGAGAATCATATGTATATTACTTCATATGATTCACATATGTATGATCATATGATTCTCATATGATTGGCCACATATGATTCTCATATGATTGTATATACATATGATTCTCATATGATCCACATATGATCCTCATATGAAAGGCAATGCATATGTGGATCATATGTGGCTAAATTGCCTATGTATAGATATTGATTGCATAAGTCAGGCAAGCTTTTTTGAAAAGCTATTACTTATATTGAATTACGTATACGGATATATTGTTCAAAATGATTTGCATGTATGGTCCCCTGAATTTCAATATATCCGGAGTAGGCTGTCTATATATAAATCTTGTGTCATGTATATGTACTGTTTTGGCCAATCACAATGAATGGTTCTTAAAATTAATTTTAAAGGGACATAGAATTTCAATTTGAATCCTTTGCTTGTTGAATATTTAAGTCTCTGTTTTTCCTTGACTGTCACATCAGATCTAGCACGTGTTGTCAACTTCATCTAAAAATTTATATATACTGTTTAATGTAACTAAGAATGCATTTTTGTGTGCTTTTCTTCGCTTCCGATTTGTTGACTTTACCAATTGTTTTAATTTTTTGGAGCGGAAAAATCAAAATTAAAAAATATATTAACACAATTTATCTGCTGCGATTATTTACAACTGCATTTGATTCTGCAGCGGAATTATTATTTTTTACGTTGCAGAATAAGAAATTCTTCAGATACGACATACATGACGAAATCTGTTTCTATTTGGAAGCTTCATTCCTAGCATTGATGTGGATCTTCCTTTTAATCCTCATTGCGCTTCGTGATTGTGTGTGGTGGGAGTTTCCCAGACTTATGACAAAATTAATAAGCTGTTCTTTCAATGTGTCGATGGCTTATCATGCCTATCATATATACAGTCATCATGATGATTCCACATTTAATAAGTTTGTGTATATATTGGAGATTATTGAGAGTGGTATAGATGTCTTACAATTGATATACATGTTTATCATTACGTGAGTACATTTCTTTTTGAAATCAGCTTTAATTAAAAGAAATGCTCTGTATTTTGAATGTTGACTGCTGGAATACGTGTACTAAACAAAGTTTGTGGCATTTTTTTTCTACCAAAGCTTGATTCCTCTCCTACTGAATCTGCCAGCTAGTACGAGTATATAAATGACAATATTCTGCTTAACGACGTTCGATCCTGATATCTAAAGTCTTAAACTTTTTTTGCCAAGTATATTTTTAGTTTCTACATACATAGCTTAATTAAAATTCAAATCAAAAAATGGGGGTCAAAACGCTTCTTTTGGCGCTACAGTACATTTAATATGACCTTTTTGCACTGAAATTTGTGTCTTAATGAAAAATTCATTTTTTGACGTTTTCCCTACAATATTTTTATCCAACTAAAGCATGAAACAAAATGAACTGTTAGTTTGTTTAAAAAAAAGACACTTAAAATTGTGACCAAGAAAAAGTTTCAAATTGCTTCGCATAATCAATTATTTGACCTTTCTGCACTAATAAAAAGTGATTTTTCTGGCATTGACAATTTAATAAGCAAGAAAATTATTTTAAAGTCTTAAACTTTTTTCTGATTTTAAGCAAATAGGTCAAATTTATCTTGAATATTTAGAAAAGAACATCAAAAGTGGGGGTATATGATGTAAATTTTCAGATATTACAAAAAAAGTGTCAATTTTACGTTAAAATTGACTCAATTTTTTCCTGGATTTTCAGAATATATTTACTATATTTGTCACACTTTATTGATAGAATTCATAAGAAATAATTTAATAGATATTTCAGAACCAGCATAACACATTTCACTGCAAAAACAGCTTTGTGTGCAACAAGGATTGAAAGATAGGAATCAAAAATCAACAGTACTCTTACAGTTCAAAATGGATAAACTGATCATTTTCGTCTAAAAATCATTCCGCCACGAAATATAGTCCCTAGCTTAATTCTACTTGAATGGAATTTAATCACAGTTTTTTTCATTGAATATAGTTAAATTTGCACTGTAAAATTCAGATGCATTGTTAGAACTTAAAAATGATGCAGAATTTTATAAATAAAGAAACTGACCAAAATAAGCTCAAAATCTCAGGATCGAACGTCCTTAATTCTAATAAGATAATGATGCATTTTGAGGGATACGGGTAGGTGTTGGTTGTTCTGTGGATACTGGATACTTGTACCAAAATGACGCAGGTCAGACATAGTCTTATTAAGAAGGAAAGTAAAAGCAAGATAGACAGATATTCGGTCCATCCATAGATAATCGACTTCACAGAAATGCTCGGTCGATATGTTTTTCTGTGAAGTAGATACATCTATGGATCGACCTCATCAAAGGGCTATATTTATGTATTATGAAATATTATGTAAAATTTTGAGCTTCTCAAATTAGTGCCCCGCTTTAACAGTGTTGAAGATATATTTATGGGGAAAGCAAATTGATTTTGCCTTAACAAACATGTGTCAAGGAATTTTGATATATGGTATAATGTGTTTAATCCTGTATTTTTAGTACTGGAATTTTCTTTTCGAAAAGTAAAACAACAGTTGAATCTTATTTTAAATAATGTTTTCTTTCAGAATAAAGAAATGCTGCTGCAAGTAAGAACAATCGGGAGGCGGAGATTGGGAAGATTTGATTCGATGAAATGAGAATTGAAACAGTGGGTTTCATTAAAGATTTGAACAGTAGTCGGTGTTGCAGTTGGACTATATATAAACTTTTTCCTGTGATGATGATAAGATATATCCAGTTTTCAAAGGTGTTTGTGTGTGAGAAGGTGTGTGGTGAGAGAGAGAAAGAGAGAGAGAGAGAGAGAGAGAGAGAGAGAGAGATGTGGGAGGGGTGTATATTGTTTGCAACAACGATACATGTATGTATTGTTGTCTAACATAGCACGTATACTTCTAAACTCAGAACTGAAGAAAAAATGTGACGTAATATGAAAAGCTACACGTGTACAGCTAGTGAATTCTTTGTTTTACTAAATGAACTCGTATATGTATAAAGTATATATATAAAACATCGTGAAATATTTATTTTTCCCCATTGAGAGCCTCAGTCTCAAATGAGATGAAGTTCAAGGTCACGTAATCATAGAAGTTTGTGTCTTTTCATAGTTCAGACGCGAGTGATGTTAGAGAATTCTTTTCGGATTTTATTAATCACTTTAATTAAATTTTCCACTGGTTTTGTAGCCAGTGGTTTGTAGCAATATTGCTTGTACAGAACACATGTTCTTTGCGATTTTCCCATGTGGGAATTGTAGCATTTAGCGTTGCATTCTTTCAACATGTGTTGATAAAGACGTGCAGCTTTTGATTCAGTGACGTCACTGATGCAGGGGCTGTAGCCCCGTGCGCCATTTAACTTTTACACGCCATGTGGTGTGGAGTTAGCGTTTGAGAATCTTTTAATTTTTGCATTCTTTCTTGGCGGCATGGCTAATGAGCCGGGACCATCATCGCAAATGCGAGAATCCACCAGCTATGATCTAGTAGATCAAGTTGACGAGGATGCCATTCGTGACGATAACACGATGCATTCGAAGCAGCATACTGAAAATATGAGTGGTATGTTTGACACTTTCATGCGTAAATTTGCAGAAATGTCTAAGACCATGACTTCAGTTCAAAAGGAACTTATTGCTTTGAAGTCTGATCGGTCTTCAACGGATACAATTCCGGACGTTTCGAGGAAAAAAGGAACAGAATAGATCTAAGAGTACTTCGCCACCTCGCAAGAAAACGAAAACGTCTCAAGCATGTATTCGTCCTTCTCACGAACTTAGTGATAATGATTCTGATGTAGAAAACTCAGACAAATCGGATGCTGATGAAGCACTTAATTCCCTTATTGAGAGAGATGATAGTTTTCATGATTCGTCAGATGATGATGAGGTTTCTGCTCTTAATGAACTGTCCGAATTTTTCGGTGATGAAGACAAGACGAGCGAACCGTTAAGTTCTGAGCTGGCAAAGATCATGGAGAAAATGTTCATGACGAAAACTAACTCGGAGAAAATTAAAGAAATCTCCAACAAGTATGATAGGCCGAAGAACATTAACAACATTTCTGCGCCAAAAGTCAACAAAGTCATTTGGGAAAACATGTCATCCAAAAACAGAGCAAGCGATATCAAATTGCAGACTACCCAGAATCTCATAGGAAAAGCCATGATTCCGACATTGAGACTTTTTGACATGCTTATTAATTGCAACTCGAAAAAAGGATCAGTTGATGTGAAGAAGGCAAAACAGCTGTGCGGTGACATCCTGAAGTTTCAGAAGTGTGTTTTCCATAATTTGTCCTACAAGAGGCGGGAACAAATTATCCAGCCAGAGAAAAACAAACAGTTTGTAAGTTTGTGTTCTGCAGAGAGTTCTTCAGAAAATTTATTCGGAGACGACTTGGGCAGTCAAGTTAAGAATGTGCTTGAAGCAAAGAAACTGGCTCAAAAGATAGGAAATAAAGATTACAGTGGAAAATACAGAATTCCCAAAGTGTCCCATTACTCCCATAGCTATGGGAAGAA